TGATTGGATAACTGAACTCATCATAAGGAGTTGTTTGTAACATTTTTAATGAACTGTTACAGCTATCCCCACCCCAAACAGCCATAGCTAACTGTTTTAGCATGTGGGTTTTAAGTTAGCATGAATGCAGAGTATCAAATTAAACTAGAGAAACAGCTACTTTAGGTTGTAGAGGTCAAATAATTGTATCTACAACACAATGACTGCAAGGTAAAAAATATAATCTTAATGAAAAAATTACTTTCTTTCCTGAAAATCAGTTTTTTGGTCATAAAATCTACAATGTTACTCACATTCACATGCCACTTCTCCTGTAACGTTAAAAATGTGAATGGAGTGTATGATATTGATGACATCACCACAGCTCCTTTCTGACTTGTCATACTGACAAGTGTTACAACTAACCCCAAGTTACAACACTCCCCGGTCTCCCCCTATACAGTTTCTAGATTTATCTCATTTAAAGATACTTAAAGTGTTGTGACATCCACTAAAATTAATTCAGTGTTACACAATGTTTAGAACTTCTCATGAGACCATCAAGAGATTGAAAAACACCCCAATTCTGAGCAAAGTCCTACAGGATGATATGTTGCAAATAAAATGAACTGCCACAAGTTAAATACTGCCTGTTCAAAATTAAGCTCAAAGTCAGCACAGAGCTCCAGTAACTGACAATACTGGAGTCATGTATGGGGTGGGGGTCATCATGCTTGTCATGTGACTTTCCCAAACGTGTTAATCATGAAAATATCTCAATTCTAAAATATGTGAAAGTAAATGCATTTTGCACCTTTATATATCATGTTAGTTCATCTAAAACTGGCGACGGGCAAAGTTAGTGTAATCCAGTGGCGAGCGGTAACTTTTTTAACCGGGTGCTGCTGAGTGATCAAATTAAGACCCCCACCCCCATTTTAAAAGTATGCACATTTTCTACCTTGTTTGTAAATTAAATTAATCTCCAATCCTTCTTCCTCGTTTCAGGTCTATCCATTGTTATTTGAATGCTAGAAAAATATAGGCTAGCTGGTTTTCAAAGTAAAAACCGCCAAATAAGGTTTACATGTAGTTACGTTATGATACGTGATATTCTGAGGAGACATGCTAGCATAACAAAATGCATGGTATTTAGGCCTACTAGTTGCCATATCAACACTATAGACAAAAAAGTGCGCCAAAAATCTTTTGAAGATATCGCTGAACATTTATTTTACCATAGTAAAAGTAAATTTTTCATCTCAGTTTTTAGTATTAATTTAAAATGAGGCAAATGTGCTATTATTTTAATCTCCAATCTGTTATTGATCCGTTTAGATTAAATTCCAGTTGCGCAGATGGGGCACCCTGTAACACTGCGTTACAGTGTGCTATTCTATGACATTAGCAATGTAATTTACACTATTTACTTTAATGAATTTTAATGAGAAACCACGAGGAACAGGTGAATAAAGACTGACAGTCAATGTTTAATGTTCAGAAGGTATTATTTCAAGAAATGTACAGCATTTTTGCTCATTTATGTGGGCCATCCCAAGCATGGTTGCAATGTGTTCATTGTCAAACTCCAAAATCAGATTATTTTTAATTCTTAAAAAAGGCCATTATTTTATTTTATTGACAAAATATTTTATATTTTAGTATATTTTCATTATATAATCATGTTTATATTAATTATCCCATGAACTTATTCTCTCAGATGGCCTGGGTATGCAGAGCATTCGCATCTTATGGACGAAAGGCCACTGGTAATCTATTAACTAGCTACACACAAAATCAGCCTTTTTACTTAACCACATATTGGTGTCATGCCATAACATATTTTTAATACGACTGACATTGTATTTAAAGTGAATTTAATTAAAAAAAAACATTGTAAGTTACTAATTAGAACACTTTCATTGTACAGAAAGATAGCAAAAAAATTAGGCTACATTATCAAAGAACATTATCATTTCACTATCAAAACTTCAGTCTAGTCAGAGTTCAAGCACTCTCAAAAACGCCCATTATAATCACTGAATCTGTTTACACTGTGAAATACATATCTCACTTACATCGTATGCACATCTACACTTTGTTTCTAATGAGAGAATTCAGTAAGTGAGCGCGCACACGGACCAAAACAGGAGTTTCAGCGATGACTCATCTGAACGCCTCTGATTGGCTATTGCATTCATAAGCTCAACAGAATCGTGTGTGATTGGTTATAATGCGCAGAGCCAGCGAACACAGATGTGAATTTAGCAGCTGGTGATGTGCACTGAACATTATAATCAAATATATTGTATCAAATATATATAAAAAAATATATTAATCGGCTATTTAAATTTTTTTGTCTTTTGTAAGCTGAATTCAAAATCCAACTGGCTCAGTTTGAATGGGCATGACACCTCTGAATCCAATGATTGAACAATTGTTCTTTCAAGTCAGGTCTACTGTAAATCTAATGTACTTGCACAATTGACAATTGTAACGTACACGTCATTGAGCTTAATCTCGTGTATTTTCACACAAAACATTTTCACTATGTGCAGGGGCGGACTTACTGATTTGGGGGCCCTAAGCAAATTCCAGGTGTGGGGCCCCAACACAATAACTATGTGCTCTTTTACGCCTAACCCTTTATTTTGCTCGCTCGCTCTCGTTTATTTATCCCTTCACAACCAGTAATTAGTCAAACTGATGCTATTCTAAAGCCATATTAGGCTACCTTTTTTTGGATCACAAAAGAAGATTTAAAAAAATGCTTGCACTTGTCCATTTAATAAACTTTTTCAATATTTTTACAAAGATGAAATTATCCCATGCAACTAATTCGTCCAAGTGTTCTGAAGGCATACAAAAGCACACAAGAGAGTCCTTTTGAAACATCAAGACAAACACAATTATGACTTGAAACACAGTACTTTCTTTACTGAGGTGAATATCTCTGTTCTGAGACAGTCAGACAGTAATATACAGCCTAGAATGCGCGCAAAGAGCGCTCCCTCATATAATCACTAAAAGCTGTCTCACTTCAAGTCAAGTCAAGTCACCTTTATTTATATAGCGCTTTTAACAATACAGATTGTGTCAAAGCAACTGAACAGCATTAATTAGGAAAATAGTGTCAATAATGCAAAATGACAATAGTAAACACATTTTTCAGTTAAAGACAGTTCATCATTGAATTCAGTGATGTCAACATCCAGCTCAGTTTAAATAATATCTTTGCAATCATGTCAACGATATCGCTGGAAATTAAGTGTCCCCAACTAAGCAAGCCAGAGGCGACAGCGGCAAGGAACCAAAACTCCATCGGTGACAGAATGGAGAAAAAACCTTGGGAGAAACCAGGCTCAGTCGGGGGGCCAGTTCTCCTCTGACCAGATGAACCAGCAACGAACTTCAGTTCATTGCAATCTCAATGATGTTCTGTTTTTTGACATAACGTTCCATTAATAAGCGCTCTACACTGCACAATGAATCTCTTATTTACATCGTATCTACACTTCGCTATAATGAGAGGATTCCCGAGCTTGCAGAACTCTGCAAACTGGCATTTTGAACGGAGAGTGGATTCTAACATAAACACTTCTGGTCATTGCATTCAAGAAATGAACAGATATGTCTGTGATTGGCTATTGTTCAACTCTGCAAATATGTTTCTGCAATATCATACGGGGCACCCTGATTCCCCGGGGCCCTAAGCGGCCGCTTACCTCGCTTATTGGTTAAGTCCGCCCTTGACTATGTGACAAAACAGAAGCTGTAGCTTATTTGTGAAGAAGCGCATGGATATGGGAATTTCCACTCTGGTTTCCTGTAAGCATCTTGGCCTGGAGTAGCTATCTTTATACTGTACACAAATCTGTAAGATGCTTTTTTACCACATAGACAGTTTACCCTGTCTTGTTGCATGTGTGGCCCTGTCAGATTGTCTGCAAAGAGTTCAGTGGTTTAGGTGATAAAGTAGCTGAGTTCAGTTTCACACTCTTCATCTACAGTTGTTACAACACACAGCCTCATGCAGCTGAGCCAAGAGTGTGTCTTTCACAAAATGTTTTTGCCGATAACGCTTATATACACATGATGGACGAACATTAGACTCTTTCCACAATTAGGGTAGTTATTAATACACTTTTTTTTTCAAGAGAAAAGGGTGTGAATTCGTTTAATTTAGTTACCCTAGTGCTTTAGAAAAGGTCCTAATGATGTTTACTTCTTGTAACCATATCAAATCAAATCAAACAATACAAGATGGGAGTTCCATAAAAATATTTTCTTTTTCTTGAGTGGTTTAATTTGGATGTTTCGCTGCTCACTTGCTCATCTTCTCTCTCCTTTCTTGACGGTAGAGTAAAGGACCATCTCTGGGCTGACAATGGCTTCTGATGCAGAGCCATTTACAGCGTTATTATTCAGAAGAACTGATGAGGAAGTAGATAAAAAAAGATATTGTGAGAAAAATGTCTCACAAAAGAGAGAGACTGTTTGCGGTCACATGTTTGATGTACAGTGTAAGCAAAACAGTTCAAACTTCTGTAATACAACATAACTGACAATTACCTTCACTGTCATTGCAGTTGTGTGATTTAAGAACAACTGATGCATAGGTTATTTCATCATTTTTATGTCCTGAAAGAAAAAAGAAAACAATAACGCAAGTTACAATTTGATATATATATATATATATATAATTTTTTTTTCATTGATGTAGTAATTAAAGCATTTCTCAAGATTACTCCATCACAGAATATCAGAAGGCACAGCAGGCATTAGTTTATATAACAATATACAGTATATACTGAGAAATAAGATTTACCTTCACTGTCATGGCAGTTGCGTGACTTGGGAACAACTGATGCATAGGTTATTTCATCATTATTTTGCCCTGAAAGAACAAAGAAAACAATAACATAAGTTGCAATTTTATATATATACATTTAAATGATTGTAATAATTAAAGCATTTCTCAAGATTACTCCATCACAGAATATCAGAAGGCACAGCAGGCATTAGTTTATATAATAATATACAGTATATACTGAGAAATAAGATTTACCTTCACTGTCATGGCAGTTGCGTGACTTGGGAACAACTGATGCATAGGTTATTTCATCATTATTTTGCCCTGAAAGAACAAAGAAAACAATAACATAAGTTGCAATTTTATATATATACATTTAAATGATTGTAATAATTAAAGCATTTCTCAAGATTACTCCATCACAGAATATCAGAAGGCACAGCAGGCATTAGTTTATATAATAATATACAGTGTATACTGAGAAATAAGATTTACCTTCCACATCATGGCAATTGTGTGATGTGTGGTTGACTGATGCTTCGACTGTTTGTCCTTAGAACAGAGAAGATTCTTATTTATTTATAAAGTAAAATACAGTAATCAACAAAACTATATGGAGACTTAAGGCACACTTAATTAATCATTAATTACTCACCCTCGTGTCATTACAAACCCGCAAGATCTTCATTCATATTCAGAACACAAATCAAGATGTGTCTAAGACGTGTTTTCTGTGTGCACAAAAAGTATACTTGTAGCTTCATAAAATTAAGGTTGAACCGCTGATGTCTCATGGACTATTTTAATGATGTCCTTACTACCTGTCTGGGTCTTGAACGTGGTAGTTGCTTTGCTGTCTATGCAGGGTCAGAAAGCTCTTGGATTTTATCAAAATGATCTTGTGTTCCTAAGATAAAAAAAGTTCTTACAGGTTTGGAACGACATGAGGGTGAGTAATTAATGACAGAACTTTCATTTTTGGGTTAAGGACTTAAGGTTCTCCTCAGTTTCACACAGGTGTCGAAGATGTAGTTCTGGTCAGTTTCTAAAGGTTACATTTGATGCATGTGCGGTTCAGCAATGGAATGAATAAAAATGTTTCTGGAAGAGCAGCTCAAAGAATTCACTTACAATTGTTTTTTTCCCTAATGTGCTACTTTATAAAATGCCACTTGTTTTAACAGGCTTCTCAAGTAACCATTCCAGAGAGACTTGATCACATATGTATTGATCATAGCCTACTTATCCATAAAGCTAATTCTGATTCTAATTCTTATAATTACTTTCACCAGCATTTATAACTAGCTTAGAATATTTATTTACATTTATACTGTTTGCTTTAACATCATAGCAGAGTGGTTAGACTCACGTTTTGTCCATGTATAGTAAACGCACACAGTGATCAGACAGAGAAGCAGAAATCCTCCTCCTCCTCCTCCTGCAACTACGAGCTGCCAGTTATTGTGCAGTGAAAACTCAACAGCAGCCAGACCTGATCAAGATCATAAATTCATCCACTTCATAACACAGTATCAGGTTTCTACACACCAATAGTATATTAATGTCCTTGTAAAGAGTTATAATTCAAATACTCACTGATTTCTATCTCTTTATAGCCCAGAGAACAGTTGATGTCTCTGAAGAGTTCACAGCTGTAGAGACCCAGATCAGACAGCTGCACATCTCTAATCAGGATGGAGAAGTTTCCAGAGGCAGCAGCAGCACTGAATGCCTTAATTCTATGGCGTCTGTTATTCCAGAAGCTTTCAGGACCATTTACTTTGATCTCTACAATGTAGTTAATGGTTTCATTAATCTGAGTCCACACAGCACCTAAATTCATGGTCAGGTTTGATCCAATGAGAGCTTCTTCAAAAAGGCACGGCAGCAGGATTTCAGACTGCAGTTCTGTGGTTAAATTGATTCTTGTAACATGCTTCCTTTCATTGCACACATCTTGACCTGTGTGAAAGATTGGACACAGACAAGAGCTTGATAAAGTGGGGGGAAAAAATACAATAAGAAGTGCAATAAAAGCAGTTCAGGTTATAATACAGATAATAAACATAAGACATTTACTGACCTCTGCCATACACAAGACAGCAGCAGCACAATATCCACACAGCAGAAAAACACAGTCCAAACAGCTTCATGGTCTCATCTGATCACTGAAGCTGCAACAGAAAAGAACAGTGAGTTCAAGAGCAGCAAGGTGAGAATTTGCTGAGCATGTCACTTCCTGAAAAAGCTGAAAAAAGAAGGCTACTTGGTAAAACCACAGGGATGATTCTCAATTAACAATGGGTTTATGGAAAACAATTTTCTTGTTTCTTTAAAAATATATATAATTTAAAACAAAGCAAACAGCAGAGGTGTTATGTTGTACAAAAAGTTTATACATTTTACCATGGTATGTATTCAGACAAGTGCATTTTTTGGTTTTCAATCTTCATTTCATAAAAACCAACTCATAACAGCAGACACTGATGTTTATCTGCTTCAGAAACTAGATGACTTTTCATTAAAGGAATTATGATTCTGTGAATCTGTCTAAAAAGTAAAGCTGTCTGTCTGTGTAATGAAGCTGAAGCACAGCTGGCTCATGCAGCAAGACAATGATCTGAAACATATTAACATGACTCGGGCCTCAGAATGGTTTGAAAACAAGACAATTCATGTTTTGGAAGCCACACTTAAACTCCACTGAAATGCTGTGGCAAACCTGAAACATCCAAATCATGCTCAAAAACTTGCATGCCACTGAGTTGGAGTGAGACACAGCAGAGAGAAATGCATACATAACTACAGGAAATGTTTGTTTGCAGGTATTGCTGCTAATTACGTTGTAACCAGTTCCTGAGTAATCTAAAGGAAGCAACCACTCTTACAGAGCTCAGTCAATCTATTCCAGCCGTACTCAATCTCATAAAAAGTTTCTGAAAATTTTCTGGCTATAAGATAAATTCATCGAAATCTTCTTTTTTATTTCTTAATCAAGAGGAAAAGTCAAAATTATCATACTTAACTTCAAGTCTTAACGTTACAGATTCATTAACTTACTTAGGACTTCAGATTACATCAGATATAGAAAAAACAACCATACTGAACTATAATGCCCAATCAAATTCAGTTACTAAATCTGTAGATAGATGGTTAGGATTACCAATCTCAATAATTGGTCGAATTAATATACTAAAGATGAATATACTTCCCAAATTACTTTATTATTTTCAAAATATTCCGTTGGCCCCCTCTACTTCATTTTTTACTAACCTACGAAGAATGTTTATCAAGTTCATTTGGAATAATAAACACCCAAGAGTCTGGACATCTTTGCTTTACCCGTCATATGATAGGGGAGGATTAAAACGCCCAAATATTCAATTATACTATTGGGCATCCCAGTTAAAGGTGTTAATGTTCCATTTTTCGACAAACGCTCCTCAAATGGCTAGAAATAGAAAATTTGTTCGTGAAATCTAAGATTCCTTTTAACTTGTATCTTTATTCAGCCAATATAAAAACATTACAGAAAAATCTGAGTACAGTATCATATAATCCAATAGTGCTGAACATGATAAAGGTGTGGGGGCAAGTACAAACTCATCTAAAGGAAAAAGAGTCTTTGTCATTATTTAGCCCAATATGGGGGAATGAAAAATTAATACCTGGTCGAAAGGATTTAGGTTTTCGACTCTGGGCTGAGAATGGTGTGGGGAAAGTTAAAGACCTATACAAAGAAGGTGTTCTAATGTCATTTGCTGATATTATTGACAAGTTCAAAATCCCTAAAAAAAACATTATTATAAATATTTGCAAATTAGGAGTTTTATACGTACTGCCCGAGGACAAGGACTTGCTGAGCAAAAACGAACTAATCTGGAGAAATGTATGACTAAACCAAGTAAAAGTGGAGGACACAAATCGCTTTTTTATAACATGCTATTATTAGGTTCTCAGGGGTCCTCTGCATCCAGATTAGCCATGTGGGAACAAGACCTTGGAGTGAAGATAGATAAGGAATTATGGGAGCAAAAGTGTGTAAAGGCCCAAACACAGACAGTTAACAGTAGACTAAAACTGTTACAATACAATTGGCTTATGCGTACTTGTATAACTCCAGTAAAATTAAATAAAATTTATAGCAACATACCAGATACTTGTTTTAAATGTAACAGTGCAAAAGGTACCTTAATTCACTGTATGTGGGAATTTTACAAAATAAAAGAGTTTTGAAAAGAAATTAGAAATATGATAGAGCGTATGGTTTCAATAAGGTTACCATTAGATCCAGGGTTTTTCCATTCTTGGCATTCATCCAGAAAATTGGAATATTAAAAAGGTTAATCAAGTATTGATAGATATGTGCATTTTACATGGCAAAAGTCTCATTGCCATTTATTGGAAAAAGACAGAAAGGCCTAACTCATTGGTTAAGAGAAATATCTTCATGCATTGCAATGGAAAAGATAACCTATATGCTTAAGGGTAAACAAGCTAAATTTAAGAAGATCTGGAGTCCATTTTTATTAATTATTGAATGTAGGGATATTAACAATGTAATAGAGGATCAAAATTCTTGATTGGGTATTTAAATATATTTTAATGTGCATTAAATTAACCCCTTACAACTGTGGTTGTTATTGTTTGCAATGGATTATTAAATCTAACTTCCAAAGTACAGACTGTATTAACCCTTTGTTGGGTTTGTGCTTAACACTTTTTATGTAATATGAGCCCCTAGTGTTTGTTTGTTTCTTTTCTGTACATAGTAAGTATTGTTACAGACACGGTATGTACATGTGTCAGTCTTGTGTTTCAAGAAAATGTAATAAAAATAATATTACAAAAAAGGAAGCAACCACACTGGAGCACTGGTTGTTACAGAAAATCATCAAAGATGCATCCCATTTTATTTGTTCATGTGTCAGTTTTATGCATCCATAGGTTTTGCTTGGGGAAAAAATACAGAAAATCACTCTGGGAACAACAAAACCATTAAAAAAATGTTACTCAAAATTAAGTAAACATTAACTAAAATATAAAAATATTAATAAAGAACTATAACAGTATATTAATGACGCTGAAATGAAACTTTGGTTCAGTTGGTTTAGTTTTTTTAGCTTCATAATCATAACAAAAATGAACGAAATAGTTTAAAAAATGGTTTTAAAATTAGTTTTACTGATTGCATGAAACCGAGCAGTTAGAAAAAGTGTCAGTTTTATTTTGAGCATTCTCTTCTGCAATTTTGTTGCATTTAAATAGCTGGTGAAACTGAGCACATCACACATGACACTTCAGCTGTTATCACCACAAACACTCTTCTGTCTGTCTCCTCCGCCACAAATCCAATGTACTGACAACCATCAAAAGAATAAAAACAACATTTTAGACCTAGTTTACACTGCTAGACACTGGGAACACAGATTAAGTAATCAGAAGTTATCTTTGTCCAAAACAATTCTGTATTTCACAGTTCATCATGATGAGCATCACGGAACAATTTACACATTAAAAAATAAAGCATTTTATATCTACAAACAAAAATGTATACTCTGTATGCTTTGCTGTTCACCCAAATGATGAAAATACAGAAGAAAAAATGATACAAATATATAGAGCAGTTAAAATAAAGCCAAGTAACTTTCTGGCTGTCTAGTCTGACTGTTGTATATTCCAAACTTGTATCCCTAATACTGAAATACACACTGTTTGGTTTGTTGAGAAAGACAGGAAAGAATGAGAGACTTAAGTGACCAACCTCTCAGGAATAAAAAAAAAAAAGACTTCAAAGGGTAATTAGTTAAATATGATATAAAAATGAGCAATGCCTAACAGCAAACTGACACTTCAATTCATCTACTCCTGTTATTGCAGAATTTTTACTGTCCGATGAGTGGGACTGCATGCTGTGGAGGGTGACGTGGTTTAAAAAGTAACATGGCAGCATCACTTCAGCTTGCCTTTTACAGCTTTTATGGTTAAGGTGATGCTACTCACTCACACCTACATCTTGCAAAGCATTACAGTATCTGTGAGCTGTGTTCGGACCTTGTGAACTCAAAATTATTAAGTCTATCTTTTGGAGATCACGCAGACTGGCTAATAAAAATAGCACTGTCTCACTGAGGTTTGATGCCAATGGTTCCTCTGTGTTCACAGTGAAAGAGACCCTGATATTCTAAACTGAACTCAAGCACTTTAAAAAAAAGATAAACATACATTTGATGGAATGTTTATTAATGTTAATTTTAGCTTACAGTGGTGGCCAAAATTATTAGAACACTAGTATTTTCACCAGCTAAAAATCTTTAGCTGTAGTGTGTCAGAAGGAAATATCCGGTTACTTTTCCAAACATTAATTTTGCCATTAATTGTAATAATCCAGTGAGATTTTTGTCTGACTACAGCCAGTGCTCCACACAGAGATCTGATCTCTTCATCATCCAATCTGTCTGGAATGTTGTGAAGAAAGCAGAACAAACTGAGACTAAATCCAGAAGAACTGTGGCAACGTCTCCAAGATGCTTCAAGATACCTACCTGCAAAGCAACAGTACTGTTGAACGTTTTAGGCACTTGTGTAAAAATGCTGTAAAATGAGGATGCTGTCAAAAATAGATTTTCTTTATTAATTAACTTCTATTAGCTACATTAAGTCAACATTTGGTGTGACCATCCTTTGCATTTAAAGCAGCTTTTGCCCTACGTGCACTTGCGCATAGTTTTTCAGGTAGCTTTACAGGTGGGTTTCTTGAAGCATCTTGGAGACATTGCCACAGTTCTTCTGGATTTAGTCTCAGTTTGTTCGGTTTCTTCATGTCATTCCAGACAGAATGTAACTGGATATTTCGTTCTGACACACTACAGAAAAAGTGACTTAAAGCCATTTTCAGCTGGTGAAAATACTAGTGTTCTAATCATTTTGGCCACAACTGTCTTATTAAACATCTAGTTTACTTGACTGTTCAAAAAAATAAATTACTATTGAATAAATTATCCTATGAGCATTTAGTCTTTTTGCTTTTTTATCGACGAGAGCAAAGAGAAAGAGAGATGCTGAGAAATATTCTGAAACTTAATGTATTCAGCTGCAACATTTAAAATATATGACACAAAAACTGCTGATATTGATATACCCTGGTTTTGCTGTTTTAATTAAGTTATTCAGGCAAATAAGGGT